GGTGGGGGGTGGGGGGGGGGGGGGGGGGGGGGGGGGGGGGGGGGGGGGGGGGGGGGGGGGGGGGGGGGGGGGGGGGGGGGGGGGGGGGGGGGGGGGCACGTGCGAAACACTAGACGCGCCATTTTCTGTCGTGCAGATTACTGACTCGAAGTAGCGATTCTTCGTTGAAAATGGCCGAAAGAATACAAGAAACTCACGATGACGCTTACTCGAGTGTGCTTCGTAAAGATAGGGTCGCTCGCAGCTACGATGTATGTATATACATAAAAAGCCATATATCCATGATCGATAGGTACTATATTTATGCAAATCAATCAAGTTTCAGCGACTCACGTGCACGAAGACGCCGGTAATGCTTGTCGCGTCGTGTAAAAATTTAATGGAGTCACTGCGTCGTTCTGATAAGATCGACTTGACTTCGCAGTGAGTCATGAAGTCGATCGCGGCGGAAAATTCACGATTAAATCGTTTGCCACGCTCGGTGGAAATCAGTGCTCGGTCCGTGACATTGCGTAACACCTGAGTAGGCAGGTACCTACGTACGTATAGGTACGTTTGGGATAATCATCCAGTTGCGAAATTCGGAGCACACCGGGTGCGCCAGTACATGTGCTTAGTCAAAAAGAAAATTAATCACGCGCTGTATATCGTTCCTAGCTTAAGGCGACTCGATGATAACTTCACAGAAATTCACTCGATATTCATATAGGACGTCCAAGGTATAGAAGGTGGAATAAACTCGTGAAGGCTTTTGAACCGAGTATATAGTGAATGTGAGCTAATATTGCACATATGGCGCTCGACATCTTAGCATGGCTTGACATGGGCTGTGTCAACACAGACTGTAATAAAATTTCTCTCGCGAGCGTCACGTACGTGTCTTTCCAGTGCATTATTGTCAGAGTCCCCGATGTCAGCCATCTTATTATTCCGATGATCCGTGAAATTGTATTCAACGTTATTCCGAGTTCATGGACTTTGGAAGGGAAAGCCAATAAGATATCAGCCATACCTGCCCATCTATATATATCGTGTCCACTATAGAAGCTGTAGCGACGACTCGATGAAGGTTCTTTGAATACCCTCGTAGACGATATACGAGAGCACGCAGGAATCCCTATACGCTTTATCATCACGATCCTATAGTTAATTACATAGATCTCAACGACCTCTTTACGTTGAGAGATGCTCAGAGGAAAAAGACGTTGATGACGTTCGAAACGAAAAAAAAAAAAAAAAAGTTAACGGCCTCCTCCCAACGTCCACTTCGATTCTGAAGTTCTATCGACGCCTCCCTCGCGGTTATAGCAACTGGCTTTATAGCTGGCATTAGTGCCGCCGCTGTATTAATTCGCAAGCACGAGCAACGCCTGGGCGGATAGACGGGAGGAATGGCGGATGGGCAAACAGAGGTAAGGAAAAAGAGAAAAGGAACGAGGAAAAAAAAAGGTCGCGATAAGCAGCAAGCACCAGGCCCCCACTACCAGGTACCTGGACACGTCACTTCAGGTATCAGGAACAACAAGGCTTGAGCATTCAAGTATTCGCGCATTGTTCTTGCGCAAATATTACCCGACTATATGGACAATTCCAAGGCGGCCACCTGCGTCCAACAATGCATTTATTGTCGTCAGGTACATAGTAGCTAGGTAAGGACGAGATGGGCTTTTGTGGTCGCCGGGAGAAATTGTACTGTAAATTTAAAAATAACCAGCAGATATAATACGAGTTTCGAAATATTATATGTCGCTATGTCGTCGTACTCGGAGCGGCCTGGTGGAACTATTTTTTTTTTTTTCAATTATCAAACACTCCGGAAACTCGTATACGAATTCGAGTGCAAGCTCGGGGACCTGACATTCCTCATGACTAACCGTTAATGCAATATCTGTATCATATACGTATATACGCAACGTCACAGTAACCAGGGTGCATTAGTAAGTCAACGCGAAGCGACACGAAGCTTTATTTCCGGGTAAGATTAAACGTATAGGTACGCATTATACTTTGCTGCATGAATTCCTGTCAATGGGATCACAAGAAACCGTGCGTCGTACGTGGAAGACCCGTCGTCAGTCCCCCTCGTCACTTCCGGCACGTTTCACAAGTACATTTGTCGCAGTGTGTATCGCCGTTAAGCCGTCAAGAAAGTGAAAATATATTACAAGTTCGAAGAAGATCTTCGGTCACTGAAGCGAAATTCACCAGCCAACGTTACCTACATCTTCTCAATGGCATCATATTTGCAAATTGCGAAACTCTACTGTGTATTATCGGTACATCCATATACACATACCAGGTTGACTTAAACCGATCTAATACCCTGCCGGGGCATATAATATGCGTGTACATACGTAATAATGTCGCACGATGCGAATGACGTAACTGTGCCCGCGTTGCATGCGGGCACCACAATGGCGGTTCAGGGTTCAGCGAATAATCACAATAAATATTAAATCTGCGGTCGGGGGGTACGCGTAACTTTTGACTTTAATGCTCTAGGTCGGTGCGGATATAGCCGGATGACCGATTGTGAGCCACTGGGAGTAATAACGATTTACAATGACAATGCTTAAGCTGCAAAGTGAAGGGAGATAAAAAAAGGTAAATTTCTATGAAACTCCAGAGCGTTCGAACGGCGTAACAGTAATCGCAACTGCTTCCTAGGGTCCCAGTGGATTACGTATAAAACACGTAACACCGAAGACGTACCCGAACACGGAGGCTCCTTGATGTATCAAAGACTCCTCGTGAGTCACGCAAGAACGGGCACAGTATGTTTTTCTTTCGTATTTATATACCGATGTAGGTATTCCCTAGTGAATTTTGCTAGTAGAGCTTAACTCGACACTTGGGGCAACGTCCGTTACTCAGCATATCTATAGCTAGGTATGTATACGTAGGGTCTGCGCCGATGAAGCAGCCTGTGCGGTATGTGACAATTTCTTTAGTTTTATTTTCTTCCCTTTCATACTCGTTTTCCTGGCTTATTTCGCGTGCGGCTATACGGCACAGTATTTAGCCGTACGTTAAAGACATAGGACCTCGACGCTGTATCGTGTATAGTACTTGGAAGTTCGAGTCAGCGGGTTCCAGCAGATAAGAGTACTGTGTCAACGTGCGTTTCTCTTTGTGAAGAATAACCATCTCAGCTTGAGGGTAGACGAAAGGCACGAGGTGAGGTTAGAGAAAAAAAGTCCCTAGAATTCTTTGAAAGTATATATGATATAAATTGGAGTTCCGAGACGAATGGGGAATATTTGAGATCCTGGAACAGGCGAGTAGATACGACATTCTTTTGTTAACATGACCCACGAAGGATTTAGGTAGAGTTGGTCAGTCGTATGTCTTACGTATATGTTCTTTCGAAATGAGAAGAAAAAAAAAGAATACAAGGGATTATGGAAGTGAGCCTGTTTAGCGTGGCGGAGGACACGGGGCAACTTTTGAAATGGCGGCATTGAATGTCATTACTTTACATCCACAAAAGTTCGCCGGAACCAGTTCAACGGTAGCCGTTTGTACGCTTTAGCAATGTCAGTCACGTAGCTACAAGCAACCTTCGCTAATGCGTTTTAAAATGTCCTGAAACGCTTAGAAAGCACGACTCGCGCGTCTCAAACTGCATTCTTAAATAAGGCACGGGTGAGCGAGCGAGTGTATTTTAACCGATGTCTCAAATGCGCCATACGAGGATGGAAGAAAAATGATGGAAAGCGGATTCCCGACTCCGACAGATAAAATCTCATAAACTCAAGAAATTGTGTGACTAGTATGTAAACACAGCATCCCACATAAATACATAGAGAGATCGAGGAATTATCGATGGAAAATAAAAAAAAAGTTCCAAAGAGTTGTGCAACCGTAGATTATTTTTATTTATTACAATAATAAATGATAAGGATTGATAGAAAGGATGGCGCGGAACTTATCGATCACTCAAAATCGATTAGTGTCTGATACCTCTCTCGATATGTTATAGTCACGGCTGTGATAAGCAACCGCGTGCAATGCGAGCCGATTAATGATTTTTAAAAGCGACGAATTTCTACCTGTGATCGAAAAGTGGGAACTGATCATTATAATGGCAAAGTATAATTACGGATGTTTATGCCTGTTCGCGCTAGAGGAGAAAAGATTGTGTACACATGTTACTGGTTGTTCTTGATCTTTGGTCAACGTGGTCGTATGGCAAAAAAATGCTCACTGCCCCCTCGAATGAATAGGAAAGTAAATGGAACGAGGCGACTCAAGGAAAATATCAAATAATAAGTACTTCTCTATCGGTCGTGCAATTCCGCGAGCAATATATTCGCACTGTCGTAATGAGACGTGCCAAACGTTAAAATTACGAAATTTCATAAAAAATAGAGTTAAACGAATAATTCGTGGAACGGGGCAGTGCCTAGTGATAATATAAATAATTACGTATTCTGAATATATGGGATCGAGTAAATTCCAGTTATTCTTTTACCACGAATCACAACCAAAATGGCAATCGGCTAACGCGTTATCTGATACGAAGATTACAGTTTCACTTTATAAATCATGGCGTCTATAATAACACGTACCAGTACAGTACAGTCTCTTGCAAAGACGCTGTACGACGAAGTGATTCGCCGAATAAGTAATCGTAAAGATAAATTTGTCATTGATCGTTAAAATTCCGATGCGCTCAAAAATGTACTTGTAATTGAGAAAAGCGTCTCACGTCTTTAAAGAAGAATGAAATTCGAATCGATCGCCTGTAAAATTCCTCGATTCACGGTTGTCCGTACAATTTCATTTAATTGTAAAATAACTCCCGATGACTTTGGGCAACGTGTAATCACGTGTCATTGGCATGACGCAACGATGAATTATTACCCTACTCATTCTGAAGTGCAAGAGCAAATCCATTCAGGGAGAATCCAACGAGCACCTAGACGTATAGTCCTATGCGAAAAGCATCGAAAGCTCTTGAACTTCAGTGCGTAATAATTCACGCTTCAATTGTCCTTCGTGACATTTAATTAATAATTCGTCATTAGAAAAAAAAAAAACATGGCGTCTATATCAGTCCTTCGCCATAGTCAGATATACGATGCAGCGAAGCATCGACACCCTTGTATATCACTATACATATATGATACTCACCCTTATAAAGTGATAGATTAAAAAGTAATATCAGTAACGGGAGCAATAAGAATGAATATTTAAAAGAAATGGCTGCAGCGCCAAGCTGAAGAGCACCCGGGAATTAGCCGGCAGATGTGTGGCTTTCTCTCGGATTAATTATGGCGTTTCGGGGACCACGCTGTACACTCTCAGATATACAGAATATTCAGTAAGAGCGCTTAAAATATATCCTATACTCCATTCAATACTTGAAAGCTACCAGTTACATCGGAGGTTGCTGATACCGGTTGTCGTTCCCGTGAAATTTCGATAATGCCAAATAACGCATCCCGGGAACACTTACGGATGACTACAGGTTACGCGCGTTATTGTACGAAGGAATAGCAGTGGAAAGGACGTCTCGCTAGTAGGATATATCTATATATTATACATATATCGATACTAGCGCAGAGAATCCATTATTCGAAATCCTTGAAGCGAGTTACAGGTAAACTTAACGGAGGCGACGGGTTGCGCCAGTGATAGAAATAGCGTAGTGTGGCTTAAGTCGTAACCGAGGAATCCGTTGGTTCTTTCACTCTTCAATACGCCAACGCCACAGTCTTGTCATTCTTTTTTCTCTCGCTCTACGTCACACCAGTTTCTTTATCCTCGTTAAGCCGATAAGCGAAAAATTCATCGTGCCCGCTGCAGTCGCTCGCACGCTTACGCGTTATTGTTTTCGCGATCGCGCGTTTACCTATATACTATAAAAAGCGGCGACACCGAGCTATGGTGATTTTCGTGAATTTATGAATAGACCGCATTTATTATACCTTGACCCGTTAAATTTTACACGAAGTCTCGGAAGGCGAACGCGTCTTGAAAAACATACTGCGTCGACTTACGTAACGGAAAAGAGATACGTCCAGGAGCAAGATCAGGCACCTGTGCGTAAGTGAAAATTTAATTTAGCTTTGTAAGGAAATATTTGGATATTCAGAGCCAGGAAATAGAAAAGGAGTAAAGAAGAACGAGAGCAGTGCACGTTTGAATTTGAACACTCGGTATATTGTGTGGTTAGTTGGTAGCTAAGAATTCAAATGTATTTAGCGCGTGTTATGTCGAGCTGGAAGAAAACAGGAAATCCAGGGGAAACTGTACAGGTGTTTCTCAATACAGTTTGACTGGTTGAGCGACACTGAGACTTCAGGTTAAAGTGCAAGGAATGGTGTAATAAGCGGCGAGTGTTGTCGTCGAAATTTCCATAAAGGTGGCCGATACAGTTTAGGACCATAAATATTGGCTAGCTTTTTGCACAAAGGGCCCAAACGAAACAACGTAATCTCATTAGTCAATTGTAACAGACCTCTTTGGATCTTCTAGTCGCAACAGTAAAATGGAGCGCGGTACTGTCCAATCGTATGTCGATACGTGCTAGCATTATTACACTAAGATAAGAAGCCTGTGTGACGTTTATCGCTACGAAATGACATGCTGACTTTAATGGCGAACGTTATACCGATCGTGCACGTAGTTTTAACGAGTTGAGGAAATACGAAGCTTTTTTCTCTTC